CCAAAGGAACATCTATGATTTTGTTCTCTTCGGTCCTTCCTGGAGGCCCTCGTGGTGGACTTTCAGCCACAGATGCGGTTCAACAAGAGCAGGGGGCGGCGGTGATTCGCCGTAGGCGTCTTCGATCCGCCGCCCCCTGTTGATGGCAATGTTGAGGGGATGTCTCGAGGGAAACGCGTACGTTTGGATAACAGTGTTGAACAAACCCGGGGGTTTTTCAATATTGTCGTTTCTTGGGCGGTCTTGGCGGTCATCCGAGAGCGCTCCGACATGATCTTCGATTCATTGTGTGAAGCAGTTCTTTGATGATGCCTGCAGATAAGTTGCGATACTGGAATATCCGAAGATGAGTCCATCGATCTCAACACCCTCAATGTCCGAGGATGTCTCGTGCAAAAGACTACTTTGTACTATGAGGCATCTTGAGCTGGGATCCCCAAGATCGCGATTCCTTGAGGACGTCTCCAGCGAAACGGCCGATTTGCGTTTTGCACGGACCCGTCCCGCCACCGTGCCTGGGATGGTCAGCGACGTTTGGGATGCTCGTTTGGATTTTTGCGGGACGTTCGGACGCTTCTTGGAGGTAGTTCTGGGCTGCTGGAAGCCTCTCGGGGGCCTCTCGGGGGCCTCTTGTTGGCATGCCGGGGGCCTCCTGGGGCCTCTTCGGGCCCCTTGGACCCTCCTGGAAGCTCCCTGGCGGGCGGTCTCAAGGTCCATCTTGGCACAACAGGGCTTAACTCCTTTCCTCGAGAAGACCTTTCGCCACAAGTGCAACCCTGTCTCAAGTGGCCGACCGTGCCAAAGCATGTTGCCAGCCATGCAGGTGGGTGGCTTCGCAGCTTTATTTGAATCTGCAGTCAAGGCGAGTTCCCATCATGTGGTCCGATGTCTCCAGTGTGAGGCCTTTCCTGATGCTTTTCCCTTCTCTTCGACAGACTTCTCACCAGTCGCCTGCGAAGTGCAGATCTTGTTGCGCTGTGGTGCAACTGTGTTTAGCCGCTCGTCCCACCTCAGCTGCCTTCACACCGAGACGTCATTGACTCTGTAAGTTTCTTAGGGACGGATTTTCGCAGCAAGTGCGCGCCGTCCCATGTGGCAGACCGTGTCAGAGCATGCTGCCAGCCATGCAGGTGGATGGCTGCGCGGCTTTTCGCGACAAGAGCAGCGCCGACTCGTGTGGCTGACCGTGCCAAAGCATGGGTGCCTTTGCAGTTGCTTGCTGTGTCGACGCTGCAGCCAAGTCGCATCACGTCCTCTCTTCATCCTCCTGCACATCATCGTCCCGTCATCACTCACTTCTGGCACCTCCTGCGCACTCTCCTCGTATACCGGCTCGTGCTCCTACACATTGTGTCGTCGTGTTCTCTCCCACTTCCGTCTCTTCTGTGTCTCCTGGCCGGCCCCCGCGCTCCGTTGCATTTCCCTTCCCCCTCCCCCTCGTCAGAGAGTTCAGGGGTGGCGACGATCCCCACCACGAGGAACGGCACTGTCAAAATGCATGCCGCACGGGCACTTCCGATGATGGCCTCCGGCTGTACGAAAGCAGCCTTCGCAGTGCCAGAGTTGTCCTGGCTTCGGTTCAGCTGCTCGTGGGTTCGTCATGGCTGCACGGTGGGACACTGAGCCGAGTGGTGGTCCCGTAATACAGTGCCGTTTTTAATACATGCTCCGCGTGCGGATCATGTATTAAACATGCAGGGATTTAGTATTAAAAACAACGGTGAGTTAATGCATGCATACATGTATTAAATTAGTCATGCATTAAACTCCTACATTAAAATATCTTATGTATTCAAAACTGCCCTGTAGTTTCCTGGCCTGGGCAATTCTCAAACGCGTTCTCGCCCGAGCCCTCTGCTGTCGCCTGCCTTGATGCCGCGCCGGCTCTGGACAAACTCTCGTCCCCGGCGTGCTGATCGTGCACGCTGGGAAGGGTGCGGTGACAGATTTTCAGTGACGAAGTCCAGTGAAACACGTCGCGAAAATGCGCGCCTTCGGCTCGAGTTGCATCTGGCTTGTCACACCAGTCTGCGGGGCCTGTGATCTTAAGGTTTTGGGGCCCCATGCCTTGGCCTGCTCTTCCTCTTGCTCCTCAGCTTCCTCCTTCTCCTCCTCTTCTTCCGTTTATCTGCCTCTCCCCTTTCTCCCCCTCATGTTGCTCGCCTTGGTTCCTGTCGATGTTACGTAGCACCCCGCAGTTGCGGGTAAGAGTGAGTGGGCGGCGGGGACGGGACGTCGGCAGTCTGCGAGGCTCTGAAGAAGTTCGCGGCAGGCGCCTAATTTTCACAAGTTATACAACGAGCTCGCCGCAGGCGCCGATTTTTTTTGGTTGAAGCAAGTGGGTGGGTCGAGGGGTGGGTCGCGGGTGGGTCACGGGTGGGTCGCGGTTGGGTCGTGGGTGGGTCGCGGGCCGGGTAGCGGGTGGGTCGCGGGTGGGTCGCGGATGGGGTCGCGGGTGGGGTCGCGGGCGGGTCGCGGGCCGGGTCGCTGGTGGGTCGCGGGTGGGTCACGGGCCGGGTCGCGGATGGGTCGCGGGTGGGTCGCGGGCCGGGTCGTGGGGGGGACGACGACAACATTGACAAACAACAAACAACAAACAAACAAACAACAACAATAACATTAACAACGACAATGACAGTAATACTTTTAATATTGTTCGCTCTTACTGGCACGCGTGTCTCGCATTCTGTATATCCCAGCCCTCGATACCCGCCCACTTTTTCTGAGATCGCACCCCCTTTCGGAGGGAAGATCTTCCTTGTTGGCAACTGACTGCAGTGCGAGGAACTCTCGAGCGAGAGCGCCGTTCCTGAGTTCGGGGGCCTCTCTGGCCAGGGTCTCTCGGAATTCATATTCTACCGTACGGATACCTTTGTCGCCGTGTCTGGGCCTCCATCAACTTGCTTTATTATGAAAACATCTCGAGCTCGTTCGGGGGCCTCTCTGGCAAGGGCCTCTGCAAATACATCTTGGAGAAGTATCAAAGGGAAACCCTTGTCGCATTTGGGCCTCCACCAATTTGATCGAATCACGGGAAAGTCTCGAGCGAGAGCGCCGTTCCTGAGTTCGGGGGCCTTCCTGGCCAGGGCTCCCGGAGTATATCGTGAGGAGGTGTCGAGCAGGAGCCCCTGTCGTCGTGGTTGGGCCCCCGCCAGCTTGATTGAATTGCGAGGACGTCTCGAGCGAGAGCGCCGTTCTTGAGTTCGGGGGCCTCTCTGGCCAGGGTGTCCCGGGGTAAATTAAGAGAAAGTATCGAGCGGGAGCCGTTGTCGTCGTAGCCGGGCCTCCAAGGGCCCACTTTTACACCCAAGCCAACGCTTGAGCGGGAGCCTCGTTTTCAGAGAAAGTGTAGCCGGCGTCGAGGAGAGAGCGCCTGGAACCGTTTTTGGAGATCAGCAATAGTTATTCTTTAGAAATGACTTTTCAACAACAATAATTTCAAGACCGTTCGCCCTTATATGCTCGAGTGTCCAATATCGCGTATTTCCCAAACTCCCGATACCCGCCCTCTTCGTCTTCGATCGAACCCCTTTTAGGGGGTACACTTTTCTTCCCTGCAGGCCGGGCCCCGGCAAGCGGCGGGGCGGCCGCGGACCGTCGGCCTGGCCAGCGGCAGCGCTGATCAGCGGGGCGGCCGCAGACCGTCGACCCGACCCCAAGAGGGACGGACAGGGGACCGACGACGACGACGACGACGACGACGACGACGAGGACGACGACGACGACGACGACGACGACGTCGAAGACGACGGCGACGACGACGACGGCGACGACGAGCGAAAGCGAGAGAGACAGAGAGAACGACAGCAGGGCCACGAAGGGCACGAAGTAGGCCACGAAGGGCGACAGCGGGGTCACGAAGGGAATGCGTATGGGGCCACGAAGAGCGCGAACGAGCGGGGGCCCCGAGTGCAGATAATGCGGGGCCACAGAGGGCAACTATGGGGCCACTGAGGGTAGCAACTGGGCCACGTAGGACAGTGAGGGGGACACAACTGGCGACAGCGGGGCCACGAAGGGCATGCACATGGGGCCACAACGGGCGCGACTCCTGGGTGCCTGGGTGTCGGGAGCGCAGCGCTTGGGCAAATTGCACGACATTCCAACGCAAGGGTATTCTTCAGTAAGTTGCAAGCAAGTCCTCAGCGAGAGCGCGACTCCAGAGCGCCGGGAGAGCGATTCCTGAATAAATTGTAAGGAAGTCCCAAGCGAGAGCGCGATTCCTGAAGAGAATGCGAGGAAGTCTCGGGCGGGAGCGGGGGTCCTGGCTAAACTGTAAGGAAGTCTCAGGCGGGAGCCGTTGTTGTTGTAACCCGGGGGCCAGGGGCCCAGTTTGAGCAGGAAGACTTCCCCTGTCAAAAAACAGGGTGCGAGCGTCGAGGGGCACACTTTGATTTAGAAAAAACAGTATGCACCGGTGGGGGGGGATCAACAATAATTATTCTTCAGGAGTGAGAATTCAATAACAACAACAACAACAACCAAAACAACAGCATTACCAACAATAACAACAACAATCGCACCGCATAACTTCATTTCAGCCACGCGCCCACGGACAGATAATGTTCGTTCGGCCCTTCACTCTGACCATATTCTTGTTCCTCATTTTTTTCTCCTTATGATCGGCCTCATCGTCCTCGTTTCCCCCCCGAGCTCGTCATCATAATCATCCTGTTAAGATCCCTCCTCTCCCTTTCTTCTCTATCTAGTGTTTCTCATCCACCTGCTCTATTGCCTCTTGGTCATTCCGCTCCCTGCTGCCCACCCCCCTCCTTCCCCTTCAGTGCCACCTCATCTCATGCTTTCGCACCCTGCCTCCCATTCCGACTCCTCATCCTCCCTCTTTTCCTCCCGCCGCCGCCGCCTGTTCCTGCTCACCGTGAGTCTCAAGACCCGTCCTGCCCCACGCGCTCGCAGAGCTCCAGGGTGGAGGAGGACCACGGCAAGGAGGACAACGAGACGGAGGAAGGGGAGAGGGATGAGGAGGCCCTTCTCCGCAGGATGCGGTTCCAGAACACGTCGCTGCAGCTGGCCAGGGCGTCCGCTGCGACGGAAGGCGCCGCGAACGCCGCGGGGGGGCGAGCCGCATCGCGGATGGAAGACCCGTCATTTGTTCCCGAGGGCTTGCGGGGTTCGGCGGCGAGCGAGGGGGGGTAGTGAGAAGGGGCGGGCCTTGTCAGAAGGCTCGGAAGCTCCCCAGCCTTCTGAGAGGTTTGGGGAGCCTTCCCCGAAGACACAGAGCACTTCTCCGAAGGCGCGAGGGCTTCTGAGAAGCCCCGCCGCCTTCTGGGAAGGCCCTCTCCTTCTCATTTCCCCTCCCCCTCGCTCGCCGCCGAGGGGTGTTGCGTAGTACGTGTGGGATTATCAGGGGTAACGTTAAGTCGGGCCTGTCCTTCTACAGGAGGAGAATTTTTTTAAATAGTGAAACAATGCCCTGGGGACGATCTTTCGACTATCTTTGGCGATTTTTGTTTTTCGTTCAACATCCGCCTGTATGGGGGACACGCCCGACCTAAGGGTAGCGTCCAGGGAAGACATAGGCCAGGCGATCGCAAACATGGATCAAGGGGGCGTGGATTAGCGACGGGCCCCGCTTCCATGGGGAATCGCGGATTTCCGCCGCCGAGCGAGGCGGTTCCAGCCGCATGTTGGGGAGGGCACCTCCACCGATCAATGGATTTGGCGACCGCGCGCCAAATCCATGGATCGGTAGTCCATGATTGCGCGCCCCCGATCTAGGTCTCCCAGATGGGGTCGGAGTAGTTGTGGTCGGAGGATCGCGCGCCACCGCCGATGCGTCGCCGATGCGGCTCGATGCGGAGCCCGATTTTCTCCACGCCGACGTCGCCGATGAGTCGCCGACGCCGGCGGTGCGGCGTCATCCTCGTCCTGTCTTGTTCTGCCTTCCTCCTCCTCCTCCTCCTCCTCCTCCTCCTCCTTCTCCTTCTCCTTCTCCTCATCCCCCCTCCTCCCCCTCCTCCTCCTCTTCCTCCACCTCCTCCTCCTCCTCCTCCTTCTCCTTCTCCTCTTCCTCCTCCTTCTCCTCCTCCTCCCCCTCCTCTTCCTCCTCCTCCTCCTTCTCGTCCTCTGCCTCCTCCTACAGAGCGGTCATTTCTGATTCGGTGCAGTTGCAATTTCCGCCTTTGGCTTTGAGCGGGTCTCACTTGTCATTCGTCGGCGGAGTTGGACATGAGCAGTGCTCGAAGGTTGAACTCTTCGAGCTTGGGCACGGAGATACCTCTGTCGGCATTCTAGTTGACGCGTGGGTGATGCGATGGGCAGGACGACGACGACGACAGCGATGTCAACGATCATGATGACCCAGCGCTGGTCGCACGTCGCAGACCACATGTCCATGGGAAATCCCTGCTGCGCCCTCCTTTCCTGCATCGCGGGTCTGGTCGTCGGAGGGGCCCCCCTGGCATCACCACTTGATGCGTTCGTCGGCCGGCGGCCCGTCGGGCCAGGGGCCTCGGGCAGAGGGGGGGGGGGGGGCAGGGGAGAGGCACGGGCTTTCTGCGGAAGCCGGGGGGCATCGGATTCTGATCCGAGCCCCGCTCGCGCCATCCGATTGCGATGCCGGGGCCGACCGCGGCCCCAGATTTTGGTGCGGGGGTTGCCCGGGGGCATCGGATTTTGACGCGGGGGCTGCCCGGCGGGCTCCCTGCCAGTGGCCGGAGCCCTTCGAGAGGGCGGGCTCCCGGGGTTCCCCCCCCGGGGTTAGCCCGGGAGTGGCGGCGGGCGGCACGCCCCAGAGAGGAGTCTCAAAGGCTCTCCTGGGAAAGCGGCAGTGGCGTGGCATCAGAGTTTTATGCCTGCTCGTGTTAAGTCGGGCCTGTCCCTCTACAGGTGGAATATTCACCAATTGTTTTTAAAAGTACAAAAGGGGGCTGCTCGTCCGACCTATTGTAAAAATGCTTTAGGATAGGTGGCTGCCTGGGGTTCTCCTCGTCCTTGTGCACTTTTGCTTTGGGGCGATGTATGTTTAGACCCTTTGCGGCGTCCAGCCGCGCGCCACGAGGCGTGAAGACGCCCCGTGATAGTTCAGACAGCCTGTGGCGCTGTCGAGGCGATGCGATGAGAAAAAAAATGGTTTAAAAAGTAATACAGGGACGATGTTTCGACAAACTGTTACTATGTTTGAACATGTTTGGGCATTTTTTAATCGAATCGCTTCGCTCATTCCGCCGGCCCATATTGCCTCGCCGCTGTCGTTTGTCGGGGTGTTGTTGTCAATGCGGCGCGGTTGGGCGGCTGCCATTTTTCGAAGGCGGTGGGTGGCGGGTCAGAGGCCTCACGGATGTTGCTTAGGCTCCCTCTCAGGGGCCTTTGGGAGACAGTTTGAGGCCTTTTGGGGGCCGTGTTGGGGCCTTTGGGGGCCTCTTGAGGGCCTCTTGGGGCTTCTTGGGGCGCCTCTTGGGGTCCCCTTGGGGTCTCTTGGGGGCCTTTTGGGGCCTCCTGGGAGCCTCTTGGGGCTGAAGGCTTGACTTGTCGGTTCCTGGTCCCCTTCTTGGGCCCCTCGTGGGGCCGTTTGGGGGCTCTCTTGGGCCGTCTTGGACGCCTCTTGGGCTGTCTTGGGGCCATTTGGGGCCGTCTTGGGGCTGTCTTGGGGTCCTCTTGGACCCTCTTGGGGAGATCTTGGGAGCCTCTTGGGCCATCTTGGAGCGTCGGGAAGCCGAAAAAGGATACACCCCACGATGTGTCCAAAACCTAAGGAAAATCAATGAATTTTGCCTCTTGGGTCCCTCTTGGGAGTGCTTTTGGAGGCCTTTGGGGGCGTCTGGAGGCCATGGTGGGCGTCTTGGAGCGATCTTGTGGCATCGTCGGCCGATCTTTCGAGGACTCCAGGGCTCTTGGACCGTCTGGGCGCTCTCTTGAGGCCGTCTTGGGCGCCTCTTGGCCCGTCTGGGGGGCCTCCGGCATCGCTGACGGGCACTTGCCGGGGACTTGCCGGGACCTTGGAGGGGCACTTGTCGCGTCGGGGCTCCCAGGGGCTGCCTCGCGCGCGCGAACCTGTTATATTGTTTACTCGTTACCAGAGATCTTAGCACGCCTCTGGCCCGTTGGGCCGGCGAATTTTTCGTTCAAAATCCACCTGTAGGAGCACTGCACGCCCGACCTGATGCTCGTGGCGCCGCGAGGGCGCGGCATCAGAATGTGATGCCGGCTCGCCGCGCCACACTTCCAGGCGAATCCATGGCGGGGAGGTTGGCGTCGCAGCGTGATGCTTCAAGACGGTTCAAGGCTGAGGTGGCCTTCCCGAGCCCCACAGCAATGATTCCCACGTTTCTGGCGGTTTCTGGCGTTCCCGACTTCGGGTTGGCGTAACCTATAGCTAGCAAGACAACGAGCGAGCAAGCAAGTGGGCAGGTCGTAAGCACGTCTCATCTGCAATTCGCAGGAGGAAAAGACACGAGGGGAAGTACACATGAGCGGAATTAGAACTGTGTGCTCTGTACTTGGTCGCGGGTGGTTGGCGGATGGTTCGCGTGTGGGTCGCGGGCGGGTCGCGGGTGGGTCGCGGGCGAGGACGACGACAATACCAACAACACACAGCATGTGCGTCGCGGAGGCCCGTGTCAGCCACGCACCCAGGGAAGGTTTCAGACCGTTCAACCCCTCCTCTCTCTGATCAGAGCATCACCACCCACCAAACCACCCCAACCCAACCCGAAGGCCTCAATTTGCCCTCCATTTCCAGTTTTTGGGGGGTCAGGAAACATCGAGAAAACACACATGGAACCCGTACCCCCCCCGCAACCCGAAATTCGGGTCTTCGGGTCTTCGGGTTGGGTTGGGTTGATCTGGTAGGTAGTCAGAACAAACTTGTCATCGTCGTCGTCGTCGTTGTCCTCCTCAACCTAATGCCTCCTCTGTCGAGGCATCTTGCTGTGTTTTCGATCCTCCGGCGCGGCCCCCATCCTCCTCCTGACATGATTGGCGGCCCCCCAGCTGCCTCCCCATGCCTCCTCCGCCTCCCCGCTGTCTTCCTCGTCATCCTCTCGCCTCCATCCATCATCTCACTCTCCGCTTTCTTTATCCTGATCTTTCCCTGTCCGCCTGATCCTCCCCCCAAGCCAAGAATAAACCTTGGCGTGCCTCGAGGTGCGTGCGCGATGCCGCCGTCCGCTGCGCACGGGCGGGGAGGGGAAGGCCGCCAGGCCACATAAGCTTGCGGGGGAGAAGGACGAGGAGGAGGAGGAAGAGGAAGAGGAGGAGGAGGAGGAGGAGGAAGGCAGAAGGAAGAAGGAGCAGGAGAGCTGGTTATGCGGATCATGACGATGATGTTGCTGATGGTGGTGATGGTCGGGATGATGGGATCGGGATGCGAGAGGTGGCGGCTGAGAAGCGACATTGGTGGAATAGAAAGTGGAAAGGGGAAGTGTGGATGAGTGTGTGTGTGTGTGTGTGTGTGTCTGTCTGTGTGTGTATGGGGGGGGAGCGGGGGAATTAGATGGTTGGTCAACAGGGCGGGGTTTTTGACGCCGTTCGAAGTTCCTCACTTGAGGGGATGATGGAAGTGGGAGGACAAAGTGGTGAAGAAGGGGAGGGCGAGGGCAGGTGATGGTGATAGGAGGAGGGGTTGCATGGTGAAGGCGGGGCACGACGAGAAGGAGCTTCGTGACCTGCCGCTCACAGGGGGATCTTCACACCGCGAGGGGTGAGGGAGTGCACTGGCCCCCATTTGCAGAGCGCCCGCGGACAGGCAGCGGCGCAAGATGAGGAAGGTGGAGGAGGAGGGTGGGAGGGAGGAGGAGGGTGGGAGGGAGGAGAAGGGTGACGGAAGAGAATGCATGATGGAAGAGGAGGGAGGAGGAGGAGGAGGAGGAGGAGGAGGAGGAGGAGGAGGAGGAGGAGAGGAGGAGGAGGCGGAGGAGGAGGAGGAGGAGGACGAGTAGTAGTAGTCGTAGTAGTAGTAGTAGTAGTAGTCGTCGTCGTCGTCGTCGTCGTCGTCGTCGTAGTAGTAGTAGTAGTAGTAGTAGTAGTAGTAGTAGTAGTAGTAGTAGTAGTAGTAGTAGTAGTAGTAGTAGTAGTAGTAGTAGTAGTAGTAGTAGTAGTAGTAGTAGTAGTAGTAGTAGTAGTAGTAGTAGTAGTAGTCGTAGTAGTAGTAGTAGTAGTAGTAGTAGTTAGTAGTAGGAGGAGGAGGAGGAGGAGGAGGAGGAGGAGGAGGAGGCGGAAGAGGAGGATGAGGAGGAGGAGGAGGAGGAGGAGGTAGGATGAGGATTGAGGAAGAGGGGGATGGAGTTGGATGAGGGGGAGGAGGAGGACTGGCCGGACTGGTAATGAAAAACGAATTCCCCACGGCCTTAATCGCCGTGTGGTGCACCAGAACCCTGCTCAGAAAGCGCAGACCCACTGGATAAACATCCTGGGAGGAGGGCGGGGGTGGGGGCGGAGAAGGGGGGTGGCGCGGAGCAGTAGCAGCGGCGGGTGTAACAGCGAGGGGGGTAACCCGGCGGCGGTGGGCAGGCGCGCGAATGTCGTCGGCACGGGCTTGCAGGCGGAGCGGATGCAGGAGACGTCTCCGCGGTGCCGGGACCGACTTGGAGGAGGAGAAGAAGAACGAGGAGAAGGAGGAGCAGGGGGAGGAGGAGAAGGGGGAGGAGGACGATCAGACCGACGAGGAGCATGGATATGCACAATTGTCCTGTTCTCCTGAGATGCCACTTGTGGACATGGTGACATGGTGGCCTCGGGCATTCGGAAGTGGAGTCCAGAACGAGTTCCCCAATGGTTGTTATACATGACAGAGGCAGATCCCTTCCTGCTCATTTCTCCCCTCCCTCTCCCTCGTAGAGCTTCTCCTCCGAAGCCCCCCCCTTCCCATCTTCCCCCCCAATCTCCCGATCTCCCGATGCCACCTCTCAGCCATCCCCCATTACAGTCCCCCACTTCTTCCGACCCCGTCGTGCCTCATTCTCGTCTCTCCCAGTCTCCCCCGCTCTGGGATCACGCGAGTTCGCGGCGCCATCTTTCTCTTGGCCTGGGGTGGGCACGCTCTCGTTCCTGTAAGCACCGCCTGTGCAGTCCGAAAGGCCGGCGGTCCTCCTGCTGATCGTAGGGGAACGGAGGATGACAGGAAAATAACAACTCGGAGGCCCGCGCGGATTTCTCGGATCGGCGCTGGACCCCCTCCCTGGCGCGCAGAGCGCGCCAGGGGCGGCGCCAGAGGCGCCGCCAGGGGCTCCAGCGCAGATCCGAGAAATCCGCGCGGACCTCCGAGTTGTTATGTTTGTGTTATTCTTCGTTCCCCTAGATCATACTCGTCACCGTCCTCCGCGTCATCCTCGACTGCCTTGCCCTCCACCCGTGCCTGTGTCACCGTGAGCACTATGTGCTGCAATCACAGTGGCTCCTTAGTCCTGGGCTTAAACGGATAGAGTGCTTGATGTGCGCCTTGTTCACTGGAGCCTAGCTTTTTGAATCGGGCGTGTCCCTCTACAGGAGGAACATCCCCAAATAGTCAAAAAATAGTCTGGGGACGGTTCTTCCTGTCTTTGTTTGATAATGCTTGGGCACTGACTATTCTTGATTTTTCGTCCAGCATCCGCCTGTAGGAGGACACGCCCGACCTAAGCCTGGCTGGTAACAGATCAGGGTGGCACGAGTGGGCTCTGCATCGGGGCGAGGTCCTGGGCTCATTGATGACAGTACAGTGGAGACCGATGCCAAGAAACAACCTGCTTGCCTCCAGGGTGCCCTGGGTTTCTGGGGTTCCAATGATTTTGCGATGGACAGCGTGAGGCTCCCACGCCAAGATTCCATGGACGTCCTGGAGTCTCAGGGTTGGTTCCCTGTGGAAGGCTTCTTGTGGACTGGCCCCCACAGTATCGATGCCAGTTTCGCGAAGATGGACCGGTGGCCGCCTTCCGTGGGAGCGACACGCCGCCCGCGCGCGCAGCACCGCCCCGCGTGCGGCAGCCCTGCTGGGCGGAAGCTGGGCTCCGAGCAGGGCCGGTCTGTCGCGGTTGTTGCAGCGACGGCCGAGCTCGACGCGGCGAGCCCAGACTCAGGTCGTGCCTGTCCCCCTACAGAGGGATTTTCGACGAAAAATACCCCCCAAATAGTCAAAAAGTAGTCCAAAAGTAGTCTGGGGACTATTTTTTTTGAGTATTTTCTGACCTTCTTGGGGCATTTTTGGAGTCTTTTTCTTTTTCACCGAAGATCCCCCTGTGGGGGGACAGGCCCGACTTAAGCCCAGACCCCCGACGTCAAGATTTTCCCATGACGCGACCCCCAGAGGTCCGGACCCACTGCCTGGGACCCGTTTTTCATCCTGGGTCGTTTTTGACGGCCCCCAAGGCCCAGTGAGGGCTCCCAGAGGCCGAGAAGAACGGAACACCTCCCGTCGTGCTTTTTTCTTGCACAGCGCGAGGGGGTCTGGGAAGAACGAGGTTCACGGTTCAATCACAGGGGGCAGCCGTTTCGAGTGGCAAAATTTGCCCCACATGTAAAAGGCCAGACGGTCGTTCGCTCCGACGCGCAACACCGTCCAACGTGCGACAGCCTTGCCGGGTGGAAACTGGGCTCAGAGCAGGGCCGAGCGTCGCGGTTGTCGTAGTGACGGCTGAGTTCGACGCGACGAAAGTAAGTGGTTCGCACGGTTCAATCACAGTGGGCATCCGTTGTGAGTGGCGACACTTGCCCCCACGTGTAAAGGCCAGACGATCGCTGCTCCTACCTGTCTCCTTGTCATCGTCACCTTTCCGCTGCGATTCGGTCTGTGCCGTGCCCTCGGGTCATTAAACACCCCATTCTTGGCATGTTTGTTGTGGGCAGGACTTTCGACTCTGGCGGCGCGTTGCACGCGGTTTGGCGTGGAAGGCAACGGACGGTCGATCTGTATGAAGTACTTGGCCGATGCTTGTGCAGCGCAGAGTGCTGCCAACCAGACATCCTGTGGCCTCTGGCAGCCTGCTTCTGGGAGACGCTTGCCAGGGCACTGGAAAGCGTGCCTGGGGAGCTTGCAAGCTTCTCAAAGTGAGCTTCGAAGGAGCTCCGAAAGAGCTTCGACGGACCTGTGGAAAGGCTTCAGGCACGCGCACTTGGGGACGAATGGGAGACCCGCTGCGGGGATGCCTGGCAGCCGACATCTCACCCAGCCGATGCTGTCGCCCAGGAAGAGAAAACGCGCTGGGACCGTCCCCCCCGGGGAGCCCCGCCGGGGAGCCCCGCTGGGCGCTCCGCTGGGGACACATGCCGTGGGCCCACGATGGCTGGCAGGCGGCGCCGGGCATTCCTGATGCGACGCCGACGAGGGCCGCCGCTCCAAAGCGCCAAGGGCCCTCGCCTTTCCCGCCGCCTGCACGTCGCTCGGGCTGCCAACACGGAGGGGGGCTCTGGGCAAAGAGTCGACAGCGCAAAGAAGGATGAGGGAGAAGTGGAGGAGGAGGAGGAGGAGGAGGAGGAGGAGGAGGAGGAGGAGGAGGAGGAGGAGGAGGAGGAGGAGGAGGAGGGAGGAGGAGGAGGAGGAGGAGGAGGAGGGAGGAGGAGTAGGAGAGTAGGAGTGAGGAGGAGGATGAGGAGGAGGAGTGAGTAGGGGAGGAGGAGGAGGAGGAGGAGGAGGAGGAGGAGCAGGAGGAGGAGGGAGGAGGAGGATGCAGAAAGAGGAAGGGGAGATGCACGCACGCACTCACCTATTCAGCTCAATGTCCAATTGTCTGATCTTTCTGAGAGCCTGGGGGGGATTCCATATTATATGCAACCCAGTCAACTTGCTAGTTCTAGGAGCCACACGCAAAGGCAGATGCAGCCGTTACGCTGCCTGCGCGGGGGTCTCACCATCGAACACGACGGGCAGGGCACCAAGATCAATTCGAGGGGGAGGGGTGAAGCCTGTAGCTTCAAGGAGTGTCTGCTCCACCGAACGCCCCCCCCATCAACTCCAGCTCGCGATGAGCTGTGCAAGCGACAGTGGGAGATGATGTGGGGCAGTGCACCTACCCTTACCCGTCCAGCTTTGATACAAAAACATTGGCGATCAGCTGCGCACGGGAGGGACGGGGCGCGGAGCCTAGACGCTAATGTCCGAGAGGGCGAGGAAGATGGAGATCACATAGATATCCCAGGGCGCGAAATCGATCCCAATCCACTTGAGACCGACAATGAAATCTTGATCCGATATGCGTATCATCATGGTCACCCCAGCTGTACCGTCTGTGTTCGTTATGTGTATCATGGTGATGCCCACGACCGACGTCAGACCAGCCAGCATTTCTTACTCATGAGCCCTCGCGCCATGTTGCCGCGAGGTGCCCTGCTCGTGGTGATGCTGCCGCCTGCCGCTCCGATCAGCTCGCTCACGATGGTTTCCACGGGAAGGATCTTGCTCAGGAGGGGAAAAACACACATACACAATTATTCGTCGATTCCCAGGAAAATATTGGAAAATACGGGAAGTGCGGGGAAGATGAACACTCAAACAATATGGAAAATATGGGGAAGCTTGTTATTTGTGTTTCTTTATGTGTGTGTGTGTGTGTGTGTGTCCTTGGGCCCCTTCACTTGCCCTTCTGCCGGAAAAACGCTGTCGGCATCTCGAGCGGAGTAAAAGCCAGCCCAGAGGATGCTCTGTCGTGCTGACGGCCGCGAGGGGGTCCGCTTCGAGATGCTCGTCGCCTGGCACCAGTGTTGACCCGTGCAAGCTGATTAAAAGGTGAGATTTCCGTGGTTTGTCGGGCTGGTCGAATTTCGGGAAGGTCGCTGCTTCGCGCACCCATGTCCCGTTTTTGACCCCGGCGCCGCTCAGCGTCCCTCGGCGGCAGTTTTGGCAGCCATGAATGCGCTCGCTGCATAATTAGGTTCCGCCCGTAGCCCGGGTTGACCTCTGACGCTGCATGCGCCTTCGCTTGCGGCTGCGACGGAAAAAGTACCCATGTTCCTGTGGTGTCTGGGCCTGCTGTTCGCACCATTTCCATGCGTCTGCCTGCGACGCGCTTCATCCTCGATGCTCGGTCCGAGGTGTCCTTGTACTGCCCTTTGTGCACGGCGGTCAGAATTGCGTAGATGCTCGTGGAGGCTGGCGAACCAAGATTGTCCTCTGGGTTGCCCTTGCGTGACTTGGCGTACTCTCCGTAGGGTTTGTTCACGTCTACCACGATTGGATGCTTCCGCTCCAGGATCGCCGTGCTCATGGATTCGTGCTCGAGTAGCCTCACCCGCGCCTCCAGCTACACTATGAGGTTCTTCATTATCAGGATCGTCCTGGTGTCGTCCATGTCCGCATCCTCCGAGCCTCCCATCTCCGTCCTCACCTTCTCGGCCTTGCTGGCGTCCAGCTGGAAGCTCTTGGAGCGGTCTCGCAGAAGCCAAGACTTGGCCTTCTCGCGCTGCTCGTCCTCTGTGTGCGCCATGAAGAGTTGGTTGCCAATCTGCTTGAAGTAGCTTGCGCCACGCTGGTTCGCCAATCGGTAGCGCCGCGTGTGTGAGAGCCTTGGTCTCGTACCGCGCAGAGGAATGAACGTGAAAGGACGGGGACAGGTATGGTGCCATATGCTCTTTGCAAGGCTCGAACCAGAACGTCATTTCAGCGATGATCTCGTCACAGTTCGGGCAAGTTGTACTTTCAGGGGGGGTGACCGCTCTCGAGTGTCTTCCACGATCACACGGGCAATACTGACGAACAAGACTCGCAGCAACAGGTTTCTTGGCAATCTCTGTGTTTAGGAACACGCTATCGCACAACACGCACACGTTGGTAGTAGTTAGTATGCGTCCCACATGTAGTTGTCCATGACTTTCCCTTTTCGTGTTCACAATGTGCTTGATTAGAGCGTGTCCAGTAGGCCAGGGTGTGTTGCATATTGTGCCATCTGCGAGTGTTTTCCTTCGGGCTTGGCTTGCTAAATCTGGTTAGCTGTGACCTGCGTAAGAACTTCGGCTCAAAGTTCGTTGCAACCAATACGAACGAAATCCTCCCAGTCCTCAAATCGAATATTCCGTAGGTTCCCTCCGTGCTCCCACATCTCCGGACCCGCTTCAACTTCCTTTCATGCCTCCATGCCCCCCTGGAAGTGTGTAGCCCAAGGATGTGCGTGTTTCCGAACGTGCCCATGATCATCCCCCCCCCGTCTAGAGCAGATGTACCAAAGTAGGTGGGCAAGACCTGTATGTGCTGCCCGCGATCCCGCACCATCGCCCGCAGCCGCTTCAGGCGTCGAATGCGGAGCACCAGATACAACGGGGCAAGGCGACACGCCTCCTAGCACCTCGAGACTGAATGATGTACAAATGTGCTGGCGACCGTCGCTCCATGCGGCGGTACCTCCAAGAGTTGCACGGCATTTGCGCACAATGAATATTTTGTGGTGCGAGAGGTCGTTGCTGGTGAGCGGCTCGCACCCTAACACACATACCTCCATTCCACTAAAAGCAGTGTTCGCTAGTAGCCCCACTCACCATACTACGCTTGATCCCAACATTCCCAGGAGACCTCCAAAACCTTCCCATCGAGTGGTAGCTAGCGTGTAGAGCTCTGGGACGTTTGTTTAATTCTGGCTTCGATGTGAAACTGTTTGCTTGCAGACCCCCTAGATACCGTGCATGGTGTACTGTTCTGCCCTTAGTGTTCGTGTCGTGCTTGTGAACAATACGAGTTGCCAGATGCGTTCCTCCTCCCCGTAAGTAAGCGGCATTATTCTGGTTGTTGACTTTTTGAGCAGCTCCCACCATCCCCCATCCTTTTGTCGATTGCAGCGTTCTAGAGCTCACTGCCGAGTTCAAGCATCTGAACGAGAGCAAAATATTGCCTTCGAGGGTTTTGCAATATAAATCGTCTACAACCCCCGTCAACGCCATCTGTTGTGTTAAGCTCCCTTCCCACGGAGGTTCGATCTCAACTGCAGTGTGCCAGCTCTCCGTTGCAAAGGGTCCGCCGCCGCAATTTGTACAGGGGGACAGAACGTGCGTGCAAAAACCAAAGTAGCTCACACATCTCCTGGCAAGACTCCTTCACCTGGTCGCAACCAAAATGTGCCAGACTCGCCCTCAAGAAAAAAACTCCAAGACGTACACGATCCTCAGCAAAATAGAGGTCATGATTCGCATACAGGGTGGAAGAATCTCGGCTACCTTGTCGCGCCTGAGGCTGAAGAATGTGTTCGTCGCATCGTGAAAGCGAACTAAGTGGCTGATCCCAGCGTCCTGTAATATGTAAGATGAGATAAGTTGGACGCCCATGGCGGCCTCGCGTTGTCGCTGACGAAGACCTCCGTGCATCCACTCTTCTGGTTACCAGGGCCCCCCCCCTTACGTCGAAGGGCTGCTGCGTGAAATGTCCTGCCGGTCGTGCGCATGATCATGATGGCCCTTTCGCCATCTACCTCAATATTTGTTTTTCTTTTGGGTAGTCGAGCTCGTTGAGCCGCGTGCCATTCCATGGGTATTCGTTGTAGCTGTCGAGTAAGGACAAGTATGGCACGCAAAAGACCTTGAGCAACTTTCGGCGCTTGAAATTCATCGTTGTTGGCACCGACCCCTCTGCTTGGAGAGGGCCTCCGTGGGTTGACCCACTTGGGCTTCATGATAAGTGGCAGGGCTTCGACAGGAATATACCAAGACGGGTAGCTTCTCTAAAGCTTCATCCTCCAAACAGTTTTGCGCATGCCATTCCAACCGTCGGAAGATAGCTCAAGGGCTTCTTCATCAGGCAATTGTTTTCACTGGTCGCGTGATATTTCTTGAGCCATATCGTCCACTGTTGCCGGTGTGGCTGAACATCCGCCTTAAGAACCTGGGAGGGGCATGCTAGCTCGCCAATCTGCCGCGCTTGCGGTTGATGTCGGAATTGCTGCGAAACGCCTCTGCCTGGGTTTCCTTTTTCGTCCTGCTATCGATCGCGCCAAACGTTGAACAAGATGCCCATTATTATCTCTGGCTGCGCTTCGCATCTCCTCACATCTTCTCGTTGTGATGGGGTCCCATTACATGCGATTCGTTTTTTTGATCTGCTTGCTGACCTGCTTGATAGAGTAGGAGAGAAGCTCGAACTCGGGGCCGCTGTCACAAAAGGCTCGGGAACCACGAAGTTGCCGTCGAACGGCGAGCATCTGATGAAGTGATTCCGTGTGCTGTTGCCGATCTTCCGTGTAGAGAGGGTTTTTGTCAAGTACGTGCACCAACGCCTGGTCAACGATGTCCACGGAACTTCTGTTCATGGTATCCAAGTCTTTGTTGTGTTCAAGGTCATTCAGCTCGTTGTAGTGTGCTTGGCAGAGATCTTCTATGGCGTCGTATGTTTTGTTGTCGCTTGTGTCCTTGTTGAAGGCAGGAGAATCGTGCTTCTCGGTTAGGACGTGGCGCTCGTTCTGGAAGTGGTCTCGTCGCAACTGGATGTTTTACCGTCTGCTGAATGGGCCTATGATCTCGATCCTCATGTGTGTCATGCAATCGTAGTTAACGTCCAGCCGCGCACAGAACATGGCTTCTCTCTATACATCCAGCGAGCTCCATAGGAATGCACACGTGATCGATATTGCTGTAGTTGTTGTTGCCGACGTAGCTGGGTGCATTCATGAAATTAGTGTTGGCAGCCGTAAGTCCCCAACCAGATATGCAAGGACATAGTTGTTGCGAATAATGACTTTCCTTTCCTTGCCCGTGCTTGCCAGCCACCTTGTCTTCAAAATTGAACGGGAGACCTCCGGTAAGATCCATGAATAATTTTGGAATATGACGTTTGCGAGACATCTCCTCCATTACAGTATATAACCAACCAATCATCTTTCTACATGCCTCCTCGCACGTCTTCCGCAAGTGGTTGTTCGGTTGCTTCGGTGGAAAGTACAGCCCAATGAGCCCGATGCATTCAGATCTGGTCTGGAAACTTTTTGCTGCGCATCGCCCCCTAAGCATATGTGGAGTAGGGTAGATTCGCTTCAATGAAGAACGTGGCAATCTCGATGTCTTGATGAGAAATGATATGTCATAGGAAGCCGGTACATAAGCACCGCGCCGATAGCCAAAGTCAACCGTCCACGTGTGTTCAATCGTTCGCATCTTATTGACCTACTCACCATAAGATTTTGATCGAGTGCCCGCTAATGCATAAACGTCGCGCCTGGGCAGCGCATCTGCGATGTCCGTCAATCGTTCCGCAGCGCGTGCGGCACATGGGTTGTAGCCCATAAGCCTGAACATCCCACTCTCCCCGACCGTCATGACACCGTGGGCAGCGCCGCCGCTCTGCGGCTCGTTAAGGGAAAGGGGAAGAACATGCCTGCGGATTCTGCAATGTCGTGATGGTTCCCGTAGGCGGCATGTGTGTTGGGGCGGCGGTTCGGGCCGCCCAGAGGAAGGGGAGAGGGGAGGAGGAGCGAATAGAGGATACGATGATGACGGTGAGGAAGAGCAGTGGCATCGGCGAAAGGCGGAGAAGGAGGAGGAGGAATGATGAAAGTGAGGGGTCGGATGACGAGTGGGAAGAGACAGATGGGAGCGCGGGGGCAGGAGCAGCACGGAAGGACGACTGAGGAGGAAGGCAGGAAGGATCCTCCTCGTCCCACCTCCTCCCTCCTCGCTCCTCGCTCCACCACCCCCGTCTACCACCTCATCCCCCCCCCCCCCCGAACTCCCCCGCTTCCGCTCCGTATCCCTCCCTCTCCCCCCCCCCGAGGAGGAGGAGGCCCGGCCCCTCTCCCCTCCCCCCGCGCAGGAGGGCACTGTCCCCGACCTGCTCTTCTCAAAGCTGGCCCTGCTGAGAGAGCTCGGCGGCGGCGGCGCTCTGCCAGCGAGCTTCGAGGCGTCGCCCGCCTCGGCGCGGTGGCTTCCGAGGTTCTCGGAGGTTTCGGAGGGGTCGCGGAGGTCTTCGGATATATTCGCGAGGGTTTGGGATCAGCGGGGAGAGAAAGAGAGAGAGAGAGAGAGAGAGAGCGAGAGAGAGGAGAGAGAGATAGAGAGAGGGGGCGAGAGAGGAGAGAGAGGAGAGAGGAGAGAGGAGAGAGAGAGAGAGAGGAGAGAGGAGAGAGAGGAGAGAGAGAGGAGAGAGAGGAGAGAGAGAGGAGAGAGAGAGGAAAGATAGAGAGGAGAGAGAGGAAAGATAGAGAGAAGGAGGAGAGAGAGGAGAGAGAGCACCAGCTCGGCCCGCGTGCCGACCTGGGGGCCCGCCCAGCGGCGGAGCGGCACACATTGATGCGAGGCCCTTGTTGTGGCCGGGGCGCAGCACACATTGAGGCGAGGGACCGACCCAGCTCGGGAGGGGGAAAACACACAGACACAATGAATCGTCGATCCCGAAGGAATGATGGGAAACTATGGGAATTGGGCGGGAAGACAAAAACCCAGAAAAGATGGGGAAACTATGGGGAATCATTTCATTCGTGTGTATTCATTTGCGCGTCCTTGGGCCCCTTGACCAGTAGCGAGGGGCCGCACCCCCGAGCGCCGAGAGCAGCGGGGGAGCGCAGGGTATGCAGTGGGGGCCCATGCCGAGGAGCACCCTGTGCTTGCCTCCAGGGTGCCCTGGGCTTCTTGGGTTTCGGTAGCTTTGCCACGGAGAGCGTGGCGCTCCCACCCCGCAAGTCGATGGGTTTCTTGTGGAGGGTTTCTTGTGGAGGGTTTCTTGTGGAGGGTTTCTTGTGGAGGGTTTCTCAGGGATGGGAGATCCTGTGGAGGGTTTCCTGTGGGCCGGCCTCCACCTGCAACCCCCGAGGCGGGAGAGGCCGGGGCCCGAGGCAAGCCCCCGCCGAGGGGGGGCGGCGTGGCCCAGCTATATAGGCAAGTCTCAGGAGGAAAGGAAACACACAGACACAAGGCATCGTCGATTCCTTAGAAAAGATGGGAACATATGGGAAGTGGGGGGGAGGCGAAAACCCCAAAATATGGGGAAAGATTGGACATCTTTTTAGTTGTGTGTACTTCTTTGTGTGTCTCAGGGCCCCTTCATATAGGCAAGTCGCCGGGCAGGGCTCGGGCGGGGCAAAAGGACGAGGATGACTCCGTTCGAAGGCGTTCTGGAACGCTCTCAGTCGAGCTGTCTCGGAGCGTCCCGGCTTGGTCATAGGCCCACCAGAGAATGCTCTGAGAACCTGCTGTGGTCTGCACGAGATGTTCTCAGAACCTTTCTGGCTGAGGCTGTTCTGTTTTAGCACATCGGGCTCTACGTTCTAAGAACATTGCTTTTGTTTTTGGAACGCTTTTGGGTTTTAAGACCACGTCGTGGTAGGCCCATAGCAGTGCCGGGGACGGTTGGCCCCTGCTCAACTCAGAGCGTTCCGGAACGCTCTGAGAAGGCCGCGGCGCCCGAGGCATCCCTCAGAGCCGCTGGATCTCAGAGATTGTCGATTCAACCTCACCCGATGTTATTCTCGTCCTAGCCTCGCCTTAGCCGGAGAGGGCAGCCGTGGCCGGAAAAGAGGTGGGCGAGACGACCCCTTGTATTTTGTTGGTCCATCCCTCGAATTTGGCGTGAGAGTGAGAGGGTATCAAAGCGAAGTGAGAGGTTATCAAAGCGAATGCATTATTTTCATGCTCTGGACCATAAGCATGTGGTGAGCATCCCCTGCCGCGCTTGCCAGTTGCCGCGGTGAGCATCCCCTGACGTCCGCGCCACGAGGCCAATGGACGGAGGGAACCCATGCAAAAGCACACGCGAAAGGAACCCATGTCTTTGACGGGTTGTCTCGCTCACAGGCGTTAGGAGCCCATGTGTTTTGATTCTTGTCCCGACGTTCGGGTGCGACGGCCCCCGAACGTTGGGACAGCCATCGGGACAATCATCGGGACAATCGTGGGAGATTGCCCGGACACGGGGCGGGGCGACTCATTTCGGGTTGAGTTGGCCCTTGCCAGTGCAGGAGCTCGCGCAGCTTCGCCTTGCCCGCTCGCGCGCCACGCACGAAACGAAAATATTTCCTCTCTGGGGCACCTCACATTCCCTTCGGTCTCACCCCCCAACCTCCGATGACATAAACACAGGCATATATATACACACACGCTGTACGGGTACATAAGTACATGTCTATGTGCACACTCAAACTATGTATATATACATAAACGTGTATACAGCTATTTCTGCACTTCTGTAGGATCGATCAGAGGCCGATCATGAGATTGGGTGGAAGGTGGCTCCGACGACAGGTCAACCATCGGGACAACCGTCTCCACCCGTCGAACAAATTCCATCGTTTTAGATGCCGATCGATATCACTACACGTGTTTCTGTCTACGTCACAACCTATCTATCCATCTCGCTAGTACCGAAGACGCCTACGGCGAATCACCGCCCCCCTGCCTTTTTGGAAACGCCGATGTGGCCGAAAGTCGGATTAGAGCAAGCGGACCATGCGTTCCCCCAGCCGTCGTTAAAACCTATCAGGAACACGTGAGGAAGAGGAACATGAGGAGAAGGAGGAAAAGTGAGTGGGCGGAAGAGTAGGAGGACGAAGAGGAAGAGGTGGAGAAGGAGGAGGAGGAGGAGGAGGAGGAGGAGGAGGAGGAGGATGAGGAGGCATCTCGGTAGCTCATTGGGGCACTCTTGGGAGCTTCTTGGGAGGCTTCTTGGAGGCCTCTTGAAGGCCTCCTTGGGCCTCTTGGGGGCCGTTAGGGCTTGTTCGGGGCCTCTTTGGCCGTCTCATGGCGTTCCTGGCCCGTCTGCTATCGTCGGAAGCTGTCTTGGGGGCCTGTCTGAACCGACTTGGGCCCCTCTTCTGGCGCTCCAAGGCGGTCCTGAAGGCCATCTTCTGCGTCTTGGGGGCCTCTCGGGCCGTCTTGGGGCCATCTTGGAGCCATCTTGGGCCGTCTTGGGGGCCTCTCGGGCCGTCTCTTGGGCCGTCGTGGGCCACCTTGGAGCCATCTTGGGCCGTCTTGGTAGCATCTTGGGCAGAGTTGGAGGCATCGTGGACCCTCTCAGGCCGTCTTGGAGGCCATCTTGGACCATCTTGGGCGAACTTGGAGGCCATCTTGCTCGCCTTGGAGGCCCTCTGGGGACCTGCTCGCGCGGGAAGACCAACGGACGATGGAATCTCTGGGTGGCCGGCGCGCTGTGCCTAAGCCTCAGGGGGAATGTCAAAAAGAACCCAGCCACCCGAATGTCAGCACGCCGGGCACCCCTGTGGCAAGACCTCCGGGGGCGGCGGATGACGGAAAGCGCGCGTAGCGTCGCGATCCATTCGTTGGGCGAAATAGCATGGGGAATGTGCGGGGACTGGCCATTGAGGGCCCCGATGACGGAAAGCGCGCGTAGCGTCGTGATCCGTTCGTTGGGAGAAATAACAAGAGGAAGTGTGAGGGGGTTGGCCATTGAGGACCCAGATGACGGAAAGCGCGCGTAGCGTCTCGATCCGTTGATTTAGCAATAGGGACCTAACACACGCCCATTCCATACCCAGAAACAAGGTGGCGGATTCTGCATCTACAGATCTCTTATATAGTTATCGATCTCATTATCCGTCTATCGATCTCACTCTCCATATGTAAAAATCGCGATCTAACGACCTCATTGTCAATTTATTTGCCGATCTATCTACCTATCGGCCTGACATTCAATCGACCTCACGATCAATCAATCCACAGTCAGGACAACCATCGGGGCAATTATCGGGGCAACCATCGAGACGACCATCGGGAAGACCATCGGGACAATCATCGGGACAACCATCGGGACAACCATCGGGACAACCATCGGGTCAACCGCCGGGACAGCCGTCGGGACAACTACGGGACAACCGTGGGGCAACCACCAGACATTCGCGGGTCCACATCCGCCAAACGGACAACGGGTGGTGGAGAGTCTTTGGCTTTGTCCTCGCCCTGGCAACGGTGGGATTACTTCTCTCGCCCGCTCACGCAGATTCGCTGTGCCCGCACGCACGAAACGAACACGCAACCGACGCCTATTTCCCGGTATGGGGTCGCCTTTTCATTTTGACATCCCCTCCTACCTCCGAAATGTACAGATGTATATGGTGTGTGTGTGTGTTCGCGTGCGCGCCCTCCGCCACTCTCCCTCCCCCGCGCGGTTTCCTTACATTTGTCCTACGCCACCTGCAGTTCAGCGGTCGGCTACGTCTGGCACTCGTTGAGAGGCACTGCTTCTGCACGCGTCCAAGTTGGCAGATATACAGTGCCGTTTTTAGTACATGCTCCGCACGCGGATCATGTATTAAGAACTGCAGCGATGTAGTATTAAAAACAACGATGAGTTCATGCATAAACTTATTCACACACTAATCAGGTATAATCAATCCTACATTTCTAAACATCCAATGTATTAAAAATTGCCTTGTACTTCCTTCAGTCCTCACAGTGTCCCTGCTTGACTTTTCACCGCCTGCTGCAACTCACTGGTTCGTCGGAGGGCAGCATGTGTGTCTGTGCGTGCGTGCGCGTGCCCTTCCCTCTCGTTGTCTTTATCGCTCTTTGTATGTTATTTCTCCCTCTCTCTCTCTCTCTTTCAGCAGCTGCGGGCGAGAGAGATAAAGAGAACGAGAGAGCTTCTTATTTTGTCTCTCTGCAAGTCTACCCCTTTCTATCTTCCCTTTCTCTGTCTCTGTCTCTGTATGGTGTCCTCTCTTTGCCTCTCGTTGGCAAGCAGTCAGGGTCTCCATCCTCTTTCCCACAATGAGTTCCTCTGTCTCTCTCTCTCTCTCGCTTTCCTGATCTGTAGATGGTTTTGCTTCTCGCCCCCTGTCCCTCACCCGTCTTATCTTCCAAATTGTGAATAGCCATTCTGATTCATGTGGCTACAGTGGCTGGGGCCGCTGTTCCGACCCACAGATTCACCGCATCTTACTAAAACTACGACTTTCTCTTCTGATGTCCAGATGCTTTGGCCTCTTGAACGTCCATGCTTAATTACCAGCACTTCGTCGTCTTGCTGCCAGGGCCGCCCACCGATGCTCTGGGCAAGCAGTGCCTGGCCCCGCCCAGGCTTACTGGTCGCCATCAGCTGTTCGTGTGCCCTGATGAGTGGAGGGCGCCCGATGGCGCCAGGTGACGCAACCCCTGTGCCAAAAGGACGTCCACGTCTCACGCAAGTCTTCGATGTCGACATGTCCTTATTCCAGAACTTCGCGCATGTTGAGACACAGCCCGACCAGTGGAGCACGGAAGACGTATGGGCCGTGGACATGAACGACGTGTCGACGCTCTCGGAGTCAGCCGTGTCGTTTCCCAGCAAGGCCTACGGGGGCCCGCTGCATCTGAATCTGACCCTCCTCGAAACGGTGACGTCCGCAAGCAGTAGCAGCATGGCGATCGGGGCTGCCGTGGTCTTCGTGGGCGTGCTCCTGATCTGCATGCCAGAGCTCACGTCATTTCGCCGACCCCAGCAGGAGGAGGAGGAGGAGGCGGAGGAGGAGGAAGAGGCGAAGGAGGAGGAGGAGGAGGAGAGGACACTCCTTGTGACGATGTCCCGCGTCGCTCGGGCCCCGGAGGCCAGCGTGGGCGAGGAGGGCGGGGAGGAAGAGCGAGCGAGGTGATGCCGACAAGGCGCTAGCCGGGGAGGGGGACATGCCGCCCGGCGGGAGGGAGCGCCAACGGAGGCGAGGGGCAGGGGAGCCGCACGAGGAGCCTCGATCGGCCACCCGGGCCCCCGAAGCGAGCACATGGGGAGCCCAGCGATCATCTTGTGGGGGAGGCCAGCAGGTGCCGATACCGCTAAGCCCCGGGCCTCTCCCGGGGTGCGTTCTTACCCGAATTTCGAGGCGAATCCAGCGGTGGCGACGGGGGCCTCCCAAGAGGCCCCAACAGGAGGAAAAAGGGCGAGGGGGTAGAGGTATGGGTACCTTGTTCATCCTCCTCCTCCTCCTCCTCCTCCTCCTCCTCCTCCTCCTCCTCTTACGAAACTGATCGAGCGAGCATCAACGAAGCAGTCGTCAACAAAGCTGGCACCTCCACGAAGCGACCGCAGCGAGCATGAACGAAGTGATAGCTTAGCAAGCGAGCATCAGCGAATCAGTCGTCACGAAAGCTGACACCTCATCCACGAAGCGATCACATCGAGCATGAACGAAGCGATAGCTTAGCAAGCGAGCATCAACGAAGCCGGAAACTGGAACATATACATTACCCGTGGCGGGCTGTTTTTCAATCCCGGGACTTTTTGAGGGTCGGGGACGACGCTGGGGTGGTGTGGTGTATACTTTGTTCCTCGATGTCCCGGGGAAACAACGAAAAATGTATACACCAGCGTCCCGTATACAAAATGATCCGCTCTCCAGTGCAATTTTTAATGCAGGGCCGGAAAAAGCGTCTGTGTATAGAGGAGTTCGATTCCCTACGAAGCAGTCGTCAACAAAGCTGACACCTCATCAGTCAGGCAATTCAACATTGAGCAGGCACATTGTCTGAGTCACGGTGCCTGCTGGGCCAGTGGCTCGTGTCAGAGCAGAGACGACAACGGGGCCGTTCCTTCTCTCGGGGCGACGTAAGACTCGGGCTCGCGCTCTCCTCCTCCTCCCCCCCCTTCCCCTCCTCCTCCTCCTCCTCCGCCTCCTCCTCCTCCTCCGCCTCCGCCTCCTCCTCCTCCTCCTCCTCCACCTTCGTCTTCTCCTCCTCCTCCTCCTCCTCCTCCTCTTCCTTCTTCTCCTCCTCCTCCCCGGGTTGGGAACCGGATTGGCCTGAACGGTCAGGCTCTCCGAGCCCCGGGAAGGTCGGCCACGGTCGTGCCGGCAAACGTCGCAACGATCTTCATGTTTCGCGATCCGCAACCATGCCAGACACCACGGGCCTCCTCGGGCGCTGCGTCGGGCTGCCTCGGGGCCCCTCTTGGAGCCCTCTTGGGCCTCGTCTTCTGGGCCCCTTTGGAGACCCGCTTGACATGTCCAGGGCCCATCTGGGGCAGCAGGGGCGATCACGACCAAACTTCGAGTCATGGGTTGTTCGAGCCGGCGTTCGCTTATCGGGAGTTTACTTGGTAGGATCTGGGGCCCCTCCTGGAGTCCTCTTGGGCCTCGTCTTCTGGGTCTCTGGGAGACCCTCTTGATATTTCCAGGTCCCATCCAGGGCAGCACAGATGATGACGTCAAACATTCGAGTCATGGGTTGTTCGAGCTGGCGTTCGCTTATCGGGTGTTTACTTGGTAGGATCTGGGGCCCCTCTTGGAGCCATCTTGGGCCTCATCTTTTGGGTTCTCTTGGAGACCCTCTTAATATTTCCAGGTCCCATCCAGGGCAGTAGGGACGGTAACGTCCAAAATTCGAGTCATGGGTTGTTCGAGCCGGCGTTCGCTTATCGGGAGTTTACCTGGTAGGATTTGGGGCCCCTCTTGAAGCCCTCTTGGGCCTCGACTTCTGGGTTTCTTGGAGACCCGCGTGGTACTTCCAGGTCCCATCCTGGGCAGCAGGGGCGATAACGGCCAAATTCGAATCATGGGTTTGTCGAGCCAGCGTTCGCTTATCGGAGTTTACATGGTGGGATCTGGGCCCCCTCTTTGAGCCTCCTGGGCCTTGTCTTCTGGATCTCTTTGAGACCCGCTTGATGCTTCCAGGTCCCATCGAGAGCAACAGGGACGAGGACGTCCAAAATTCGAGTCATGGGTTGTTCGAGCCGGCGTTCGCTTATCGAGAGCTTACCTGGTTGGATCGGGGGCCCCTTTGAGAGCTCCCTTGGGCGGCCTCGTCTGTTGGTTCTCTTAGAGACCCGCTTGACACTGCCAGGTCCCATCCAGAGCAGTAGAGACGATAACGTTCAAAATTCGGATCATGGGTTGCTCGAGCCGGCGTTCGCTTATCGGGAGTTTACATGGTTGGATCTGGGGCCCTTCTTGGAGCCCTCTTGGGCCTCATCTTTTGGGTCTCATGGAAAACCGCTTCACACTTCCAGGTCCCATCGAGAGCAGCAGGGGCGATAACGCCCAAAATTCGAATCATGGGTTGTTCGAGCCAGTGTTCTCTTATCGGGAGTTTACCTTGTAGGATTTGGGGCCCCTCTTGAAGCCCTCTTGGGCCTCGTCTTCTGGGTTTCTTGGAGACCCGCTTGATACTTCCAGATCCGATCCGGGGCACAAGGGACGATAACGTTTAAACTTCGAAACATGAGTTGTTCGAGCTGGCGTTCGCTTATCGGGAGTTTACCTTTTAGGATCTGGGGCTCTTCTTGAAGCCCTCTTAGGCCTCTTCTTTTGGATCTCTTGGGGACTCGCTTGACACTTCCAGGTCCCATCTGGGGCAGCAGGGACAGTAACGTTTAAAGTTCGAGTCATGGGTTGTTCGAGCTGGCGTTCGCTTATCGGGAGTTGGCTTGCTAGGATCTGGGGCCCCTCTTGGAGTCCTCTTGGTCCTCGTCTTCTGGGTCTCTGGGAGACCCGCTTGATACTTCAGAGCTTACCTTGGGCAGCAGGGACGATAACGTCCAAATTTCGAGTCATGGGTTGTTCGAGCCGGCGTTCGCTTATCGGGAGTTTACGTGGTAGGATTTGGGGCCATGTTGAAGCTGTTTTTGGTTTTTTTGGTGTTATCTCGGGCCATCGTTGGAACAATCTTGAGTGTTTGGGCGATGTTGGAAATCATGTTGGGCTATCTCGAGCAATACGCGGAACCATGTTTTCTTGAGCCCCTGGAGGTGTGCTGGCGAGCTCGTCGTACAGGGGGGGGAGCTGGAGGTATTCCTTGGGGGGGGGGAGCTGGAGGAGGTGGGCAGTCGACCTGCTCACAGGCCCTGTCACCCCTGGAATGCGGGGTTCAGCGAATCGCGTGTCTCATCGCGTGCAAGGTACAGCAGAGTTCAGTGAACCAGCAGTCCGATAAGCCGAAAGACAACAAGAAAATGAATAAGTCGGTGACCTTGCGGTCGAACGCGTCCGTCCGATCGGAGCGGTCATCGCACAGCACCACCAGCTCACACAAACGTGCTGGCCAGAAGTTGTCGGACAAGGTCCGTGGCAAGAAGACGGCCAGCGAGAGCTCCCAGGCGCACGCGATGATGTCCTCAGCGAGCTCCCAGCCGGGGGTGGCCGCGCAGGATTCGACGGTCGGACACACCAAATCGTCCTGGGTGCAGAACGTCTCGTCGCAGCGAATGGCCGCAGTGCGCAGCTTCGGCACCCTCAGCCTTGGCGGCATGAGCGCCTCGACGGAAGGCAGCTTCGGTTTCGGCGGCCCCTCCCCCCGCCCCAGCGCCGGCCTCGTGCCGAGCGACTGCCGCTTCACCGTGCCCGTCGACGTGCTGATGGAGTCGGCCGAGGAGGGCACCTTCAGCATCACCGACCCCGCCCTCGGGCTGTCGCTGCGGGTGGCCATCCGGAACCGGCCCAGCGCCCGGCTCCTGCAGGTCTTCGTCGGCACGGACTCGCCGAAGCCCTGCACCACCGTGAGCCCCCTGTCCGACGGCGGCCCGGCCGGCATCCGCATGGAGATCCGCGGTGCCGACGGCTCGCTCTTCGGCATGCTGACGCTGCAGCAGAACGGCTCCTTCGTCGTGACCACGGCCGAGAAGCAGCCTCTGCTCACCATCGAGGGCAACGAGGAGAACCTGGACCTGCGCATCTCCGCGCGTGACGGGCGGCTCGTGGCCGCGGTCTCCTGCGCGTCGGCCGGCCCCTCCAAGGAGGTCGACAATCTGGACTTCCGTGTGCGCCCAGGCACAGACCCCGTGCTGGTGGTCACGTGCATCCTCTCGGTTCTCCTCTTCGTCTACGGCGACGACGAGTAGCCATGCAACGTACACGAGCAGTCCTGGGCGCCAGCTTCAATAATTAGGAGCGGGCCCTGCGCGCGGCGTGTTCCGGGCCGCGCGCGGGGATGGAGGCGTCTCGCCGCCCCGAGAGATCTGTTGGTCGTGTCCCGCTCGTTTGATTACCGCGAAATCGTCGCCTCGTCCTCCTCGTGCTGCCTTTTGTCGCTGCCTCTCCTCCTGATGGAAACAGGGGATCACAGCTGGGCGTGGCCGTGCAGTCGCAAAGGGCCCTGAGCACAACAGTAACATCAAAAACCTGAGCTTTGGGCTCAGGGACAAACAGCTCGATCGCAGGGCCCTCGCACACCGTGCGAGCTTGAAGTGGGCCTCGCCTTCTCGGCAGGAGTACCGACGAGCCAGGCCCAACGTAGCCAGGAGGGGCACAACAGGGACCCGTCGGCGATCCCTCTCTCTCTCTCTCGTTCTCTTTGTTTGTTTTGGTCTCTCTCTCTCTCTCTCGTTCTTGTTGCCTCTATGTTGTTTCTCTCTCTCTCTCTCTCTTTCTTGTTATCTCTCTGTGATGTTTCTCTCTCTCTCTCTCTCGTTCCACATACCCATACAAGGAAACCCCGAAGGTACTCCGCAGGTTGGCAAGGGGCCCTGGCTCCCCGACCCCCCACGAGGCGCCCCGAACCTCGGCCCCGGAGGAGGGCCCCCCCCCGAGAAGCCCCCGCAATGCCCCAGAGCATCCCAAACGAGCCCCCGCGCGGCCCCGGTGCCGCCGACCCTGAAAAACGACGACGACGACGGCGACGACGACGGCGACGGCGACGGCGACGGCGAAGGCGACGGCGACGGCGAAGGCGACGGCGACGGCGACGGCGACGGCGACTGGATTGACCATCACCCCCCCTTTCGGTATACAGTCAGCCCGCAGAATAAGGACGGGCAACCTTCCCAAGGGAACCCCTTGCACCATCCTCGCCTCCTCGGTCCATCCTTGGCCACTTCCGCTGGCCGCGCCCCGCCCGGAAAGCGCTGAAATGGCCGTCCAGGGCCCCTCGCACCCTTCTCGCGCATCCTTCTGGTGCAGGCCGGCGGCATCCCGGGCGGCCCTCGCGCGGCCCAGGGTGCCTCCCAGACGGCCCCAGAGCCTCCCTCCACAGAGACGCCCCCCGAACGGCTCCGAGGGGGGGCACCCCCGGAGGCCCCGGGAGGCGGAGGCGCACTGCTCTCAGGCAGGTGTTCTGCAGATGTTGACGCGTTCGCTCTCCCGATCGCCGGGGCTCCCAGGACGGCCCCAGCGGCCTCCAGGCTCGCCCTGGGGCGGCCCAGGGTGCGCGCCCAAGAGAGCCCCAAGGGGGGCCCGAGAGGCCCCCAAGACGGCCCAATAAGCCCCCCAGGGGCCCCCAAGACGGCCCAAGGAGCCCCCCAGAGGCCACCGATACGGTCCAAGAGGGCCCCGAGTCTGCCCGCGAGGGTTCCAAGACGGCCCAAGATGCTTTTAAAAGACGGCCACAGAGGGCCCAAGACGCCCCCCAAAGAGCCCCAGACAGGCCCCTCAGAGGGCCTCAAGAAGCCAAACTCATAGATGTCACGTTGGGTGTCGATCACTCCCCGTAGCTTGCTGGCATTCGACGAGGACGCAGCTCCGCGAGGGTCCGACACATCGGCCCCCTCTGCACAAAATATGGGGCACTCCCTTGCAGAGTGGGCCTAACGAATGCTGCACAGGGTCAACGGCCGTAGCTGCGAGCGCCAGACCTCAGAGTGCGCCACCAGACGCCGGCCCGCTCAGCACCGTGGGTTTCATCCACGGGTCCATGTTTGTATGTCTCTCTCTCTTTCTCTCTCTCTCTCTATATATATATATATCTCTCTCTCTCTCCCTCTCTCTCTATGTGTCTCTCTCGCGCTCTCTCCCTCTCTATCGTCTCTTTCTCTTTTTTTGTTTTCTCTCTCTCTCTCTCTCTCTCTCTCCACGCGTATACACAAATAGATATATCCGGCTGACTGCGACAAGTATTGCCACCGTGCCAGCCGATCATTCGAGGTGGCAATTGTTTGAGGGGGCACAGGAGACCGTCACTTGTGACACCACCTGTTCCCAGACTTGGGGGAGCCGTGGTGATGATGATGCTGCTGCTGATGATGATAATGAGGATTATGATGATCATGATGATGATTATACTGATGATGATAATGATGCTGATGATGATGATGATGGTGGTGATGATGATTGTGGTGTTGATGATGACGACGACGATGACGATGACGATGGCGATGGTGACGATGATGATGATGGTGGTGGTGGTGATGATGATGGCGATGGTGAGGATGCTGGTGATGCTGATGGTGGTGATGATGATGCTTATGATGGTGGTGGTTTTGATGAGGTTGGCGATGAATATGAGGATGATGGTGAGGGTGATGTTGATGGAGGTGATGATAATGGGAATGCCGAGGCGATTGATGAATATGATGATGATGATGATGATGATGATGATGATGATGATGATGATGATGATGATGATGATGATGATGACGAAGATGATGATGAAGCTGAGGATGACAATGTTGATGGTGAAGAAGATGAAGAACTTGATGATGGTGATGGTGATGAGGAAGGAGGGGGAGGATGAGGACCACCGTCGCATGTGACACCTATCGTCTCCACTAATTGAGGAGACCTCATGTAGCTCGTTTGGGGCTGTCTTGGCCTCTTGTGCGGCAGTCTTGGGGGCCCCTGGGGCCCTCTTGGGCTGTGTGGGGGGGGGGTATCTTGGGCACTGCTTGGGTTCGTATTGGCGCCGTCTTGGGCAGTCTTGGGCGCTTCTGGCCGTCTTGGAGCCCCTATTGGGCCGTCTTGGAGCTCTCTTGGGGGCCTCTTCGGCCGTCTTGGGGTTCTCTTGGGGGCCTCTTGGGACGGCAGAAGCTCGAGAAGACGAGAACCCCAAAACCATTGAACAGCCGTCGGAGATACATAGATGTTTGCAAGGCTCTTGTGCCACCTCGAGGCCATCTTGAGGTCGTCTTGAGGTCGCAGTGGGCCGTCTTGGAGTCATCTGGGGCCGTGCTGGAGGAATTCTGGTTTCGGGAGCACGACGTCGCAGCATTTTACGAGGGAGTGTGACTTCGGGGTTAGAAGTCTGTCGCATGTTGCCAGGGATGCTGGCCTCAGGGGGAGGGGGGCTGTGCGCGCGCTGCGACGCTGCGAGAGGCGGAGGGGGCCCTCGAAGCGCTACAGAAACCCAGCCAAGCAGCACTTGGCATTCTAACGCGGCACAAGGTGTGTACTTACATATCGTCGTCGTCGTCGTCGTCGTCGTCGTCGTCTTCGTCGTCGTCGTCGTCGTCGTTGTCGTCGTCGTCGTCGTCGTCTTCCCTCCTCTCTCGTCGTTGTCGTCGTCGGCGTCGCCGTCCTTCGTCCTTCTTCGTCGTTCGCGTCGTCGCCGTCCTCCCTCGTCGTTGTCGTCGTTGTCGTCGTTGTCGCCGTCGTCGTCCTCCCTCCTCCCTCCCCGACGGGGGGCACGGTGGCAGACGTGCACTTACATGTCGGTTTAGCTACACAAACATGTGCACACATGTTAGACGGGTGCATTGGCTCTCCCTTGGTGCCCCAGGTCTCTGTCCACGTGTTTCGGTGGTCTCCACGTGTTTTTGGCTGTCGAGTGTTTCTCGTGTATCTGTCCACGTGTTTCTGTTATCTCGCGGATCTGTTCTTATCCCAATCATGTTGACGTCATGCTTGGCCGGTGATGCGACTGGTTACCGATGTCCTGCAGAAGACGGCGGAGCAGGCAGGCTGGCTTGAATGGGTTGGAGAGCACTTTCTCTCTCTCTCTCTGTCTCTCCCTCTCTCATTCTCTATGGCTTTCTACTTCTGCTGCATTCCAAGTCTGCACGCCCATCCTTGGGCCTCCTCGGAGCAATGCATTCAGCAGACGTGTTTGCTGCTTCTTTTTTCCGTTGCTTTTTGTTGCTGTCTCTTTCTCTTTCTTTTTCTCTTTCTCTTTCTCTCTCTCTCTCTCTCCCCCTCTCTCTCTCTCTCTCCCGCACACTCGATCCATTCCTGTCCACATTTAGATAAGTCCAGGGGCCGGTACCTCCCCATCACCCCAAGCAGGACCCTCCGGATCCTCGGCCCCCCTGGACGCCCTTGCCGAAGATTTCCTCTGACTGCCTGGCCTACTGGACGTGCCCGCCAGGCCCAGTCAGCGGGCCCAAAGCGGTCAGGAGGGTGGCCAGAAGGCCCCGCGAGAGTCCCGAGCGGCCCCAGACACCCCGAAGACAGCCCAAATCCAAAGAACACCACCAAGAGGCCCCCCAAGTGCACAACAGATCGATTCTCCTGAGGTTTCAGTTTGTTGTTGTTCGAGATTCAGTTCTTCAGTCTTCCGGCTGTCGGGGACCGCACAAGAGGCTCCAAGTGTCGGTCCAAACGATCCTGACATTTGCAGGCTGTCCAAGAGCAGTGCCGAGATGACCGAACATGGCCGCAAGATGGCCCGAAGGTAGGGTAAGGCGAAAACGAGTAGATTTGAGGGAATGATATGATAAGCGTCATAGAACGACGACGAAAACGACAAGAAAGAGTTACATCGGTTTTTATGTATGTAACTCGTATATGTGTATATTCATAAATTTATAACCCTACATATCGTAGGTTTGGGGAGGCCGAGCAACGTGAGGTGCCCCCACCGGGACATCGTTTCGTTTCGTCCGTGACGTGCATACGGTTGACGCGAGGCAAGGCGAAGCTGCGCGAGTCCCTGCATTGCTAGGTCACAGGTCAGACTAGCATGTTGCGCCCCCCAGGTCTAGTCCGTGGCCCGGGTTGCCCCCAGGTTGCCCCGACAGACAGAAACATACGTGTTTGCCCGATGGTTGTCCTGATGGCCGCGAACCCCGGAGGCCGCCAGGATGTCCCGCTGGTTCTGCCGAAGGTTTCCCGATGGTTGTCCCGATGGTTGTCCCGATGGTTGTCCCGATGGTTGTCCCGTTGGTTGTCCCGATGGTTGCCCCGATGGTTGGCCCGATTGTTGTCTCGTGGGTTGTTCCGATCTTTATCCGATGGCTGCTCCGATGGTTGTCCCGGTGACTGTCATGGTTCTTGTCCCGATGAATGTCCGGATGGGAGTGGTTGTCCCGATGGTCGTCCCGATCTGTTATTGTTTCTATAAGTGGTTGTATTGATGGTTGTCCCGATGGTCCCCCGATGCACAGATAGTGGCAGGGACATATTGGTAGTGATGTCGGTAATTCGGTCGTGAGCCAGAGTGATAGTGAGACCCATCGGAGGGTAATACATTGATTGTGGGATAGATATATCCTTTGTGAGACCGAACGGTCAATGTATAGTGAGCTCGGTTGTCTTTAAGTGAGACCGACTGCTGTTGCGATCGATTAATAGTTCGATTGGGATATCGGCCGGTTGACAGTTATGCCGATACACAGTGAAGGTGATAAGCAGATCGATAGAAAGGTTGGTAGGGATATCGGCAGATAGAGAGACCGATGTATAAGTTTACATATCTATGAATTGGTAAGGTCTGGACAGTGGAACCGACAGCTACGGATAACAATACACAAGTATTTGTAATTCAAGATCGACGGGTCGCGAACCGACCCGGCGCCAGTCGCAAATTGACAGCGCCACCCATACCCCCAACCTATTTATTACCCGGAGTGTGGTTTTCGCGGTGTACATGTCGATCGAAGACGCATACGGCGAATCACCGCCGCCCCCTGCCTTTTTGCGAAGCGCCTCTGTGGCCAGATGTTTGGCGAGATATTGGCCAAGCTATCAGACTATGGACTCTCCCAGCCGCTCTGAAAAATCTTCGGGAAACATGTTGGAGGAGGAGAAGGAGGAGGACTTGGAGGAGGAGGAGGACGAGGAGGAGGCTTATTAGGGCACTCTGGGCGCCTCCTGGGAGCTTCTTAGGTGGCCTCTTGGAGGCCCCTGGGTGGCCTCCTTCTGCCTCTTCGGGGCCTTGGGGGGCGGGCCTCTTGGGCCGTCTTGTGCACTCTGACGCCATCTTAGCCGCCTTGAAGACATCTTGGGACTGTCTTGTACGCCATCTTGGGTTATCTTGGACGTCTTGGAGTCGATTGGGCCAATGGAGAAATCATTTTCGGCGGTGTTGGGTTGGCCAGCGGGTGGGGCCGATGGGCAATTGGGGACCTTGGAAAAAGGACCACCACTTACCGAACATTAACACGCCGTGCACCCCTGTTGCAAGCCACAGGGGGCGGCGGATATCATCATAGTGGCCTTCGGCCCATGCCTGTGAGGATCTACTGGGAGACCTTTCGGAAGCCTCTTGGATGCGCTTTTGGGAGTGCCTGGGGTCGTCTCGGGAGCCTCTTGGGAGCCTCTCTTGGGGGCCTCTGAGGGCTTGGTTTAGGCCTCTCGGGGCCTGGGCGAAAGGCTCAACATGTAGGTTCGGGTTCCCCCTCTTGGGCTGGATCTGTCTGGGGTCCTCTTGGGCTCCTCTTGGGAGCTCTTGGGCGATGATTGGTCGATCATGGACGCCTCTTGGCCCGTCCTGGACGCTCTGAAGTCCAGAACTGCGTGAGTGTTGAAGCCATACAGAAACCAATACAGATTGACGATTCTGGCTTCTGGGGCCGCCCTCCAGGGCCTCCACGACGGCCCAGGAGGCGCTCCAGAGGGCTCCAGGACGATCTTCGGGGCCCTCTTAGGCCATGTTGGACATGCATGCTTCGAACAATGGCCGCTCGGCCTTTGGAAAAGTCACGCGAGCAACCCCGGAGAGCGCCCGATAACGCTCGGAACTCCGGACTGTGGGCCCCTTACAATGTTTACACTGTTCAACCCAGGGAGCTCGACGAAACTTGAGGACAATCCAGCCCGTACCTCAGGGCACGGTGACGGCTATGTGTGTGTATACATCTCTCTCTATATATATATAGAGAGATACACACGTAGCACCCCGCAATTGCGGATAAGAGTGGGGAGGCGGGCGCGGGCGACGCGGGCGTCGAGCCGTTCAGTGAACGATGTTTGGCTCGTTCAGTCAACGTTCAATGAACGTAGTTTGGGTCGCGGGTGGGTCGCGGGCTCTCCACCTCCACCTGGAAGGAATTCAAAAACAGCCCGCCGCAGGCGCCGAACATTCTGATCTGTACACTGAACCCGGTTTGGGTCGCAGGTTCTCCACATGGAACGAATGCAAAAGAACCCCGCCGCAGGCGCCGAAGTTTTGGCTTGTTCAGTGAACGTAATTTGGGTCGCGGGCGGGTCGCGGGCTCTCCGCCTCCACCTGGAAGGAATTCAAAAACAGCCCGCCGCAGGCGCCGAAAATTTTTGATTTGTACACTGAACGCGGTTTGGGTCGCGGGTGGGTCGCAGGTTCTCCACCTGGAACGAATGCAAAAGAAACCCGCGCCAGGCGCCGAAAATGTTGGGTGGGTCGCGGGGTGGGTCGCGGGTGGGTCGCGGGTGGGTCGCGGGTGGGACGACGACAACAACAAACAACAAACAACAAACAATAACAACAACAACAACAACAACAATAATCCGCATCGCGGAATTCCACTTCAGCCACGCACCCAGGGACAGTGAATGACCGTTCGGTTCAGCCTCCTCACTCTGATATATATATATATATACACATATATACAGATGTGTATGTCAGATATCCACCCGTTTAGGTGTTTTGCGCGCTCTCTCTCATTCTTTCTCTCTCTCTCTCTCTCTCTTTCTCTCGATTTCCATATTTATGCCCTTCTCTCAATATCACTCACGCTCTCTCTCTCTCTCTGTTCTCTCTCTCTCTCTTCCACTATCCCTCTTTATTCCCCTCTCTCTTACTGCCCTCTCCCTCCCCCCTCTCTCGCTCTCTCTCTCTCTCTTTATCTCTCTCTCCTCTCTCTCTCTCTCTTTGTTTTGTTCTCTCTCTGTCTCTCTCTTCCCGGCGCCAGGCCGTCTCTGCGCCGCCGCCGGGTGGCGGCCCTGCCGCCGCCATGTCGGCAATTGCCGCTGGGTGCGCGCTGGCATTCGGAGCGCTGGCGTGGCTCGCGGGCGCGGTGCTGTGA